GGGGGGGGGGGGGGCTTGCGAAAATGCCAACGACGTGGGTGGACAAGGGTTAGGCGCGATGGCATGCCCACCAATCGTGCGTAGGGAACACCATTGTGGTAAAATACTTGTGCTTCAACATTTTGCCTATTCCTTGCCTCATCTAGTTGCGTTCTTCCCCAAGATAACAAGGGCCGGGAGGCGAGGGGGCTAACCACAAAGCGAGGGTGGTGTGTGCATGTGCGTGAACACCAGCGTTAGCAGTAGAGCTATCCCTCGGCATGCCGTTCCCCGTAGACACTACATAGCGGTAAAATACACATCCCTCGGAACACCGCTCCCCGTAGGTAGACACGGCCACGTTCTGAAAAGCACGAAACGGCATCGCCGACAGGAACAAAACGCCTCCGTCCGCTAAAAATCTCACCGCGTCGATGAGCGCGTCGTCCATCATCTCCTCCGACATGTTCATCTTTTCGTTCTCCACGGCAAACTGCTGCATGATCTTCGCCGTCTCCTCCGTGCTAACCGCCTCGTTCACCTTCTTCATCACGCCCGCCACGTTGCCCATAACCCCGGCCAGCGAAGCTAGAAGAATTCGGCGGAAGCAGTTGGTACAAGTGGTCGAAATAACATGCAAGTGCGTGGCGCGACTCAGAGGAAAAACCAACGAAAATTTGGGAGCCGACTGCAGCCGCTTCTTGGTACTTGATATGCCCCCCAAGCACGCGCAGGAGATGCGAAGCAGACGCTAGATAGAAGTACCTGGTACACATTAAAGAGAACACATTCCAAAGTGCAAAAGAACAAGTATTCTGAAGGGTACCTGACGTCGCCGCCGTTGTTGCTGCATTCCCCACTCCCGCTAACTTGGCCCGTGCCGAGTACAACTGATCCTTTTGCGCTCGTAGCTGCACAAGTTGCTTCGCGAGTGTTCGAGTTGCGCCCTGCATGGGAGTGGCACGGGGGGATGGAGGTCGTTGTTGTTGTTGGTGGTGGTGCTGTTGAAAAAAATAACGCCCACAGGTGGTCATGTTTGGCGAGCGTTCGTCATTGCTAAACGATACGTTCGACCGTCCAACCAAGGATCTCTTCGCGAGCCGGGGCACCAGTCCAAGACGCCTCTTCTCATCCTCGAGGTCCACCTATCCTTTTAACTGTCCTTAGTCGGGAGTGAGCGAGGAGGGGTTCCGCCGCGGAAGCGCGCAATAGTGTCATGCGCTCCCATCTATGTGCACACCGCAACAAACTGCCCCCCTATGCATACAACGCAGCAGTAGATGATACCCCTGTAGGTCTCAGTATCAAGTTTGCCTTGCACTTGCGAGAAACCTGCGTGACCCCGTTGAGTCGAAATCGGGTCCCCCCGGGGACCATCATTTTCTTCCCAGGATCAGAGAAGGGGAAACGTATATGCTGACTGCGGTGTGAGCTCGGCGCCGGTAGAACCCACAACAAAAATATCATGCGCAAGTCGTTTTCGCCCGCAATGCTTTTTTCCACCTAGTTTCGGTGTGTGTTTTTTCTCCCGGTGATTATACCCATTGCGCTCCAACTCCAACTCATATTGCTTTCCAATATTGTGATAGTATTGCCAACATGTGGACGAGCTATGAACAGATAGCAGTCGGCTGACTGTTTCGGCTTGATGTTGGCCGGAAAATTGATACCAAAGGGAAAAAAATACACCGGTACATTATTATTGCAGCAAACCCGCTCTCAAAAGCACAACCCAGCGGTCACTGCAGCGACCGCTCGTCTCCTCACTTGGTTCCCGCCCTTGGCAGTCTTCTTGATCTCCGCTACCAGCGACTTCTCGCTCCTGTCAAGGTTCCGTATCTCCTTGTCCAGGTCTCGCTCCCCCGACCGAACCGCCCGTTTAGCATCCTTCGCCGCGGCTGGATGGTACACAGAGGAAAGAAACAAGAGAGTTGAGGATGGTGTCTTGGGCAAAAGGCATGCTACGCGAGAAATGCGAGGAACGTGGCGGGAACAGGCCCGCAAGAGGAGGACGGGTGATACGCACCTATGCCACCGGCGATGTGTACTGCTGTAGGGTATTTTTGTACTCCTGGCCAGATCCGTCGTGTACTACATCGAGGGGACAAAGTGTGCTACCGGTTCCCCTGATGCGCGAAAGTCGGCGGAAACGCGAGATACTGCTGCATCGCCCGTCGGCTGCCTCTTGCCGGGCTCATTGTCTAGAGAATTAGTGGAAGGCGACGACAACTTCGAAGCTCGTGCAGATACGGGTGATTGCATGCACAACATTACGCCGGTACGTCCCCTTGAAATAAACGTCTCAACTTTCTAAAAATGTCTTCGTGGTCCCTTCCCGGTCGCTGGATTCGGAGGGGAATACAAATATTACGTTGAACGGAGACCGAGTAAACACGCTACCGCTTACAAACAAACCAGGAAATTATGTTACTGCTGCCATATACGTCCCACTCGAGGCCCTTTGTCCAACTGTTCCTCCGCTGGTTCTGCGGATCTTTCCGTGCGGTCCGCGCGCGTCTTTATGTCAGTGTATGCACATGCCCGTCTACCGCGCATACTGCAACCGCCCGGCTGATTGTTTGTCCTCTCACGCCCGGAGAGATCCCCCGGCAGCGTGTCAGCGCTGTGCAGCGCCAGCACGCCAGCGCAGACTGTGTCTGTGTCACCACCTCGTCAGGTTGGTTCTGGGTGGTCAGGGCTGAGGAGCGGTGTGCTGTGCACCCCCTCTTCACAACCTCCTCTGTCACTCTTCTTCTTTCCCTCTCTTCCCAGAGACCACCGTTGGCTCTTCCTAGAGACCGCCTGTGGCTCTTCCTCGAGACCGCCTGTGGCTCTCCCTAGAGAACTAGTCCTGTCCCGCAAGTCTGTACACTCGCGGTCCCCACCATCGTCGCTCCGGAAGTCTCCTCTGGTCACACAGAGTCGAGAGAAGGTCCAACCCCTCTGTCGGTCTGAGATAGCTGACCCAAGTCTGGCGTCAGCGGCAGGATTACATTTCCGCGGGGCGACAGCGCCACCCCGGCTACAGACAGACACACCAAGGGAGTTGAAGAAGACACAGCGCTGTTACTATCACACTCAAGACGTTTACGCGACGGTGACAGAGGCTCTACGTCCTCGGCATCAAGCACCGGGGAGGGGACACGCAATTCAGACAAAGCCGTGAGACCCAAAAGCTTTCTCTCGGTACCATGAGGACGAGCACGTACGCTAGGTGCAACGGAACCATTCCAATGCGTAGCCGTCGATCTTGTTGAATACAAGTCACTGTCTGAAGGTAACCGCTACATTTTGTCCGTGATCGACCATGCCACGCGCTATGTCATATTGAATTCCCACCAAATCCAAAGAAGCCGTTGTCGTTGTACGCAATCTCGTCGATCGTGTCTTTTCGGTGTTTGGCCCGTCGGAAACGCTGCACTCTAACCAAGGGAAGGAATTTGAAAACCAGCTTGTGAAAGAACTGCAGTCTGTCTTCGGGTATAAGAAAACCCGCACCGCCGCGTATCGCCCTCAGAGTAAATCCGTCATTGAGCGTGTCCACAGCACCGTCCATAGTATGCTCGCCATGTATAGCAACCTGGCGTGTGATAATTGGTCCGGACTGCTACCGTTTGTCCAACTTGCGCACAATACTGCGTACTCTAAGACCTTGCAAGAGACCCCTCACTATCTCATGTTCGGTCGCGTGGCCAAGCTTCCTGTCGATCCCATTCTTGGTGTCCCCGCTACGACGGCTCCCCCAAACCGTCTCGATCACTCATGCCGTACCGTAGAGAATCTCCAGCTTGCATATGTACGAGTTAACTCGCCGCAACCTCAAAGAACGCACGTCAAAACAAGCGGAAGCCAATGAGAAACTGTCCTTCGCACGCAAGTTTTAAATTCGGTGACCAAGTCCTCGTCCACCGTCCGTACACCGAATCAGCTGGACCCAACCCCAAGATTATCAGCCCTTGCCACACGGTCCGTATTTACTGTCCGAGCACAACTCTCGCCCGTCATTTTTCGTGTCTCCAAACCCAACGAACCGATCGAAACGACTGTCCATTTGGGTCGTATGAAAGCGTACGTTGTGCCCACCTCGTCCCCGGTTCCGGACCTGAAACACTCGACGATTGTGTCTCGGAACGACACTTCCGGTGGGTAGTGCTGACGACTTGGTCGAATCTGATGGTCTCCATGTCGGAATAGCACGGCAACCTAGCTTTTCACCGTACAGCAACCTGGCGTTTGACGGTGCACAGCAACCTAGCCCTTACCCCCTCCTGCGCCGTGGCTTAGCCTAGACGAGACAGCAGCAACCCAGAACGCGAACCGTACAGTAACCTAGCTTTTCACAGTGCAGCAACCTCGCGCCCTCCAAGTCTGTACACATGCGGTCCCCACCACCGTCGTCGCTCCGGAAGTCTCCTCTGGTCACACAGTCAAGAGAAGGTTCAACCCCTTCCGTCGGTCTGAGATGGCTGACCCTTATACTGCTTGTTGGCAACCTTGAAATTCCACAAAACAACTACATGTATGCTTCGAAAGAAGTACGAATTTTACCGCCCGCCGCTGTCACATTCGAAGTCATTACTTTTTGCAAGACAACCGGCACAACAAGCAGTTCGGTCGGACATACATCAATTCACATTCGAAGTCATTACTTTTTCCAAGACAACCGGCACAACAAGCAGTTCGCCCGGACATACATCAATGTGCCTTGGTACAGAATACCACCTGGTTTCTCTCGCCTCTGTCAAGCACGCTAGGCTGAACACGTGCGAATAAATTAATTTGACAATGGTGCAGATATGTACTCCCCAAACCCAAAAACAATTAATTAAATCAAACACCCCCATATATATGTATCGGGCATCGCCACCAAGGACCTTATTATCTAGTAGGATGGAGCTTCAAAATGAACTGCTTTGAGTTGGTCAGGTCGGATAGATCGAAGTGCGGCGTAACTCGAGGTTAACAAGTTGAAGAGCTTGAGGAAGGAGACGGCGAGACGGCGGCAGCAAGAAGCTGCTTAATTTAATCTTCATGCCATCCCTTGCCCCTCTGAATGCTGCAGCGAGGCTACGTGGTAGACGGTGCAGTGACCGGCGTTTGAAAAGGAAAGCTGTTCAGTTCCACAGGAAGCAACATTCGAACAAGCCAACGTCAACGTGTGCAAACGTAACATTCTCATATTTCGTTGCTGTGTGTACTGCCGCAAAGCTAAGCATGAAACCATTTGGAAACGACGTGAAGTTACGCGGAATCTCACCTTTAGGATCAGGCTTCTTCTTGTGGAACATGACCGCTTGTGTAGCTGAGAGCGACTGCACAAAGAGGGACTGAGGTTTGGGTTGTGTGTGTCTGACCAGCAGAGAGGGCACCGACTGCTGGGAGTGAGACGGCCCCTCCCCGGCCACAAGCAGTTGTGCTAGTGGCGTTCCCCCCGGGCGCTGTTCTCAATTGCTGTTCTTGAGGCCAGCGTCCCAGGCTTGCAAGAACTCAGTGCCACACCATATTGCACAGCAGCTGCACACAGCCCCGGCAGCATGCTTCCTCGTCGAGGTTACGAGCCCGTCGACGATGTAGACGAGGATAGCGCGCCAGATCTGCAGGCGGCTGCCGCCAGCGAGCGCGATGACGATCATCATGTCCAAGGAGAACTGTCCGCTCTTTGCAGTTCCGTTCCAGCGGCAGCAGCAGCAGCGGGAGGAAAGGGGAACAGCAGTGATGGAGTGAATTCAAGAACAGCAGGAGCAGGTGAGGTTCGCAGCGACGACGACGATGACGACGGGAGGATGACGGTCAGGGTGCTGGACGTCAGGGGGCAGTTTTATCCACTCCGCGTCACGCCGGAGACCTCGGTGCGGGAGCTGAAGCTCATGTTGGTTGACGCGGCTGGGGTGGAGGTGCCAAGGCAGCGCATCATCCATGGCGGAAAGGTACGCTGTGTGTTGTTGTCGTCCAGCTCTTGTCGTCTGGTGGCATGGTTGATGGTGTGTTCGGGTATGCAAATCGACCATCTCTGTCCTCGTCATGATATGTAATCATGGGCCCCAACAGGTTCGTCCGGTAGAGAGGTTTTATCTTTTCACACTTGCGAAACACACGTGACAGAGCAAGACTCTGAAGACCTCAAGACCACGAACGGCTTATGCATTTTGTACCATCTCGCAATGGCTCCGTCTCTCTTTGATGCCATTTCATGGGAAGTGCATCCCGGATATCTAAAGCACCACACCACACACAATCTACCAAAAAGAAGGGATCGTGCGTTTTTCTTGTTGCGGCAACATGAGTTCTTGGCGGCCCATTGCCGAACATGACGCTCGGTCACCACAGGTTCTTTTTTTAAATTTGTAACCTTTCGGGCCAAACGCCGAACACGGTTTGACCTCATTCAGTCGCGTGGAGTTTGTAGGGGCTAAATACGACACCAGTCTTCTCGCTGGTCATGATGATCTCGCCTTACGTTTTTGGCATGGGCGCGGCGGTTGTCTGGTACAAGTGCGGGGATCAGGCCGTACTCCACTACATACACGCATGGACGCCATTCGTTTCCGTCGCTTGGCGAATACGCTCCCTTGTCTCCCCCACGTTCTGTTGGTCCTGCTGGGCAAGCCGGACACGGTGCCATTGCGTACCTTCCTCAAGTCACACTCAAACGTCGATTGTGTCATATTCACCACCGCCGCCACGTTAGAATCGCAGGGGCAAAAAAAATACACTGCGGCGTGACCTCCTGTGTAATCCCGGTTACGTCTGCACCGAATGGTGTGTTCGTATTGACGCTGGAATTGATGGGACGAACACACGCGTACACCACACCGTCACAAGGATGTGTTTTACTGGCGCCGGAATGGATGGCACGAGCACACAAAGACCAACCGCCATCATCGGATCCTCGGTGGACACACCTCCCGCCCCCCGTGCCTTTCCCCCCAGATGCTCAGCGATGCCGACACCTTGGGCGGCCGGAAAATCTCAGACGGAGCAGCGATACACCTCTTCCAGAGGCCCAAGGTGGCCGCGGCCGCCGCTGCGGGCGTAGGCACCGCCTCCGCGCAGCAACCGGGCAACCTGCACGAGTTCCCTCCGGTGCTGCTACAGGTCCAGGAGAGGGGCGGGAACGGGGAGGGCGCCGGTGCGCACTGGGAAGTCGAGGCCCCGCGACGAAAGATCATGTTTCTGGCTTCAATCTTGGTGCTCATCTCCGTCCTCCAGGTCTCTTCTTCTAAGTTTTTTTTTGTAGGGAGGCCACTGATCAGAACACAGGGTCCTCTGCATCCTTAAGGTCTCCCAAGTTTTTATGTAGGAAGACCGTTGATTGGAACACAGGGCAATCTCCACCCTGTAGGTCCCCAAGTTTTTTGTAGCGAAGCCACTGATCAAAACACAGGGTCATCTCCATCCCTTAGGTCTCCCAATTTTTTTGTGGGTAGACCGTTGATCAGGACACAGGGTCATTTCCATCCTCCGGGTCTCCCAAGTTTTAAGGAGGAAGACCGTTGATCCGGAACACCGGGAGTGAGGAGACGGTGCTTGCGTGTGTTCGTTCAAGAACCAATAATAAGCTTGACACGATCACCCCTCAGCTTTTAAAACGTTTAGGATACACACGTGGACCGGATTCCAGACCTCCCCTAGATGTCATTTCCCAGAGTGCTCTCCTCACGTTCGGCCGCATACTTGTCTCCCCTGCCAGCATCTTGCACTCGCCGCCACTACCTTTGTGTGCAACTCATGTTGATGGACCCCCTTACAGTAGCCTTTGCATGTTTTTCTGTCAAGGAAGCATGTTGAAGAAAGCATACAATTGGGGAAATTGGGTTAGCGTTAGGGTCTGCGTACCCCCTCCCTGTTCTGTTTCCTCGTACACTTTCTTTCTCGCGAAGGCGGTTTCCCCCCCCTTACTCCCTCCCCCCGCCGCGTATTTCGTTTCACTTCAACCGCTGCGATCGGAACCGCAAGCTTCTGGAATGCCTTGCGAGCATCTCTACGGTGTTGTCAGTGCCAGGGGCAGCGGGGGGCAGCACCGGTGGCGGCAATGGCGGGAGCGCACACCCTAGCCTCCCTGGCGAGTATTGGTTCCTTGTGAAGGGGAGAACCCTTTCGAGCGTCATGGGCATCGTGGTGGGGACCCTCGGCGTCCGTGGGTCCCAGAGCCTCAACACGCACACCATCAGGTGGTACTTCGTGGGACTCGTCATGTGCGCGATCGTGGCGATGGCGATACGAATAGAAGTGTTCTACGACATCGTCACGGGCAAGGTGGGTGGGTCTCGTGCTTGTTGCTGCTGCTGCTGCTCTTGGTGGTGGTGGTTGTCGTTGTCGTTGTGGTTGTGTTGATGACATTTCTGATTTTTTTGCTTGCCGTCCTTATCTTCGCCTTGGCTGCAGCATTGGTTTTGTCAACGTCAAGCACCGCCATGTCTTCGACGACTCCGTATTGCCCCCAGCCGAATTCGTAGCAGCGGCAGGGCGTCTTCCTTCCTTTGTCACACAGAAAATGCGATATGGTCGTGTGCGAGCTCGTGCTTCTCTCGAGAATCGCAGAGGGGCATGTTGGGAGGCTGCAGCCTGCGAGAAGGCAACTTCACGCGTTGTGTGTAACGCTGGACACGATTGCTGCCCTTTGCTACCGTTCGTGCTCGAGCTGATGGTTCTCTCGAGACGTGCAGAGGACGACAACCGCACGTTGTTGTTGTTGTTGTTGTTGTTGTTGTTGTTGTTGTTGTTGTTGCTGTTGTTGTTGTTGTTGTTGGTGTCTTGAGATTGTTCACGGGTCCATTCCGTGCTCAGTACCTTCTGACATCCGTATCGGTCCAAACGAACGCGGATGCGTTCCCATTCCTTCCGTGGACATGGGCCAACTACCCACGAAAAGAGTACAGACAGCACGAGAAGACATCAAAGCATCCTTCAATTTTCGGTTTGATCTAGTAACCATCGTCGTTCTTAGCACGGAAACAATCAACAACAAACCGTCTCAAACAAAGTAATCGTGTCCGTTCTTGCCTGGCATGCGGGTGGTGCACCAGATCCCGTTCGGCGACTACGGGATAAACTCCCCAGACTCGTCGAGGGAGAACGATCCGGGAGAGGGAGGAGGCGGTGGGGGCGGGGGCGGGAATGGCACGGGAGATGAGGGGGGGCCAGGGGCGCACCACGAGACGGCGGAGGCAGCGCAGAGCAGTCTCTTCTTCATGGCCTTCAGTGCGTTCGTGTCGGTGAGTCCAGCAAGAGGTCGGAGTGGACCGGGACGGTTGTTTTTCGATGTCGTGGTCGTTCCGCCAAGGATGAAGAGAAAGGTGGTGGCACCTTTGAGAACTGGATGCCAGAAAAGGGTGTAGGATTTGCCCCGATTGCAGCAATCGCTCGGACGTTTCAGGGGTTGAGAGAGGGGAGAAGAGGTTGTTTGTTTTGGTGTGCGGAGCTCTGGTTTCACTACATCAACGAGAGTCGCAAACAAGCTGCAGACGGTAACCTCGTTCCTCCGCCAGATGTTGTCATTTGAGAGCACCGGACAGAGCACCGGACAGAGAGAGAGAGAGTACATACGCCGCCAGACCCCCCCCCCCCCCCCCCGTTGCTTGAAGTGGACCAATATAACATAGAGCCATCCAAGCAAAGCTTATTACTCACCTGAACGACCTGACCAACCACGCAAAAACTGCGGAGCTAGATGTGCGGCACGCACAATGAATTGTTTTCGATTGGAGAGAGGCGAGTACAAAGCAGTAAGGAATTGTTGGCCAAACTTTCGGCAGATAGGTCTACTTGGGAGCGTAAGTGGGGTAGCAACCCATGGTGGAGCGTACACGAGAAGCTGGACGTTGGTGTACGATCCATCCCGGCGTGTGAGTAGGATCTTAGGCTATGCAAGTCGTCCCTGAACTTATTGTGGTGAAAATGACCTCCCAGGAGGAAAGTAGCCTGTACCGCGGGACTTCGGAGATGATAAATTGGGTGGTCGGGGGACGTCTGGGTGTTTACTAAGCAGAACGCCCGGCACAAGACTGGGGTACTTGTGCCAGGAGGTGTGAACTTGGATCTAGACTACGAGCCCATGTTGGAGGCGCTATTTAGCGTCGGTGAGCCGGCAAAAGAACTGAAAGGAACCGCAACCCCCACCGGACACTCGGATTGGGAAGGCCGAGTATTCCGTATACCTTCCTGAAATAACACGAAAAACAAGTGGCCGCGGTCCAGTTGCTGTAGAGATCATGAGGATGGTGAAGAAGCCGGGAGGATGGAAGCAGAAACTGTGGAAGGGAGACAGGTTGGAGCTGCTGCTGTTTGGAATTCCAAGGGACATGACGAGGATAGAGTTCAAGAACTGTTGTGACACGGAGGGACTGCACTGCCTAGCAAGGGGAGAAGTAGGCAGAGAGCATGAACATTTCCGGGTGAAATTGACCAAGGGAGACAGTCAAGAGTGCTTGGGGGTTGACATCGAGAAGCTGTCGAACTACGTAAGGAAGTTTGGATGGAGGGTTTGTGTCGCGAACATGATAGAAACAGAGAAGGTAAGGCGACAGGAGGCGAGGGCTGATAGAGGCGAAGAAGGGACCGGGCGGGGGAGACGAGCAGGCAAATCAGAAGAACGCCGAGAAGAAGCGGAAGGCGAAGGATAGAGTGCGCAAAATCTCCAATAGGGAAAAGCACAAGCTGAGAGTGGGGTCGTGGAACGTGTGCGGGTTCGCAAGGAGTGAGCGCAAGCGGTTGGAAATAGTGGACCAAGTAGAACAAAGCGATCTGGATGTAGTGGGGATTCAAGAGACGTGGGAACTGAAGGATGGGGACGTGGTAAGCAAACTAGGGAAGTACCGGTGGGTAGGGAAGGCAAGAAAGGGCTTAGACCCGAAGAAAAGGGGGGAGGGGGGAGTCGGATTCCTGGTCAAGGAACACTTGTTTGACGTGGTGGAAGTAGTGGTGAAAACGGAGTTCGAGGAAAGCCTATGGCTTAAGATACCTGGGGAGCGGGGTGGGAAAGATTTGTTTCTAGGGAACGTATACGTCCCACCGTCGTCGAAGAAAGTCGCAAGCAAGGCGCAGGAGAACTTCGGACAAATTGGGGAAGATGTCCAGAGGTTCAGTAGGAAGGGAGAAGTTGTCATGGTGGGCGATTTCAACTCCAGAGTAGGGAAAGCTTGCAGTAGAGGACAGGCGATCGGGCAGCACGGAGAAGACAAAGTGAATGACAACGGAGTGAGGATGCTTGAATTCTTGGGAAGCAACGAGCTGATGGTGTTGAACGGTAGGAGGGAAAGCGATAAGCCGGAGTTCACCAGGCAGAGGGCAGTTTGCAATGAATACTCGATCCTCGACTACATCCTGGTAGATAGGGGGAGCACACAGGTCCCGGAGCTGCACGTAAGTGCGATAGATATAGGTTCGACCGACCATTTCCTCATATGGGCAAACGTCGGCCGATCTAGAAAGACGGAGAGTAAGAAAAAGAGGAAAGTGTTCCGGTGGAAAGTAGAGCGTTTGGGAGACGAGGGGACACGCGATGAATTCCAGAAGGGATTGGCTGGTAGTGTAGAACCCTTCAGGAAACTGCTGAGAAGCGTCGAAGACGGAAAGGTAGACGCACAAGCAGCAGGGGACAGCGTGATTGAAGGATGGGAGTCCACAGTGAACACAACGGCAGAGAGAGTAGTGGGAAAGAAGGTGGTACGATGTGGGGTATCGGTTAAGTGGTGGGATGACGAGCTGAAAGAAGATATAGGGGAACGTAGAGAAGTCTTCAAGCAGTACCTGGGTGAGGGGTCTGAAGAGAGTTGGGAAAAGTACAGGGCCAAGAGGAAACAGATGAAGGGACTAGTGAAAAAGAAGAAAAAGTGCATTTGGGACGAAGTAGTGCAGAAGGCCAACGGAGGCCTGGAGGGGAACGTCAAGCAGATGTGGGAAGGGATTAGTGGGATGGTAAAAAAGACCGCGCAAGGGGGGGATACAGGGGTAGCAACATTGCGAGGTGTGAACGGTGGACTAGTCAGCAGTGGGAAGGGAAAAAGGGAAGTTCTAGCAGGACACTACAAGAGACTTGGAGTGCCGTCGGAGAATGAAGATTTTGACCAAGTGTTTAAGAAGGAGGTGGACGCATGGGCCCAGAAAGAAGAAGAGACATCAAAGGCAGACGTTGGGAACGTAGAACTAGAAAAGGAGTTCACTGAGGACGAGGTTGAGGCGTGTGTGAACAAGCTGCAGTGCCACAAAGCAGCAGGGGCGGATGGGATAGTCAACGAGTTCATGAAGTTTGGGGGGAAGGGCATGATCCAGCTGATGGTACTGCTGTACAACTGGGTGTGGAAAAACGAGTATGCGCCAAGTAGATGGCGGGAAGGAGTGGTTGTGAACTTGTTTAAGAAAGGAGACAAGACTGACCCAGGAAACTACAGGGGTATCACACTGTTGAACACAGTAGGAAAAGTGTTTTGTAAGCTGCTGAACGATAGGATAGTGGGAGTATTGGAGAAGAAACGTAGCATTAGTGAGGGCCAGGCAGGTTTCCGACAGAAGAGGGGGTGCGTAGACCACGCATTCACGGTAGGGAGAATCATCCAAGGTAGAAAGAGGGCGGGAAAGCGGACGTACTGCTTCTTCCTGGACGTGAAAAAGGCATACGATACCGTATGGAGAAATGGGCTGTGGAAACAATTATCCAAGTACGGGATCAAGGGGAAAATGTGGAGAGTGCTGAAGAAGATGACAGAGTGTACGAAAAGCGCGGTCATGCTAGACGGAGAACTTTCTAAATTCTTCGACATTGAGCAAGGGGTCCCACAAGGTTGCACACTGTCCCCAACATTGTTCCAGGTGTTCATCAACGATCTGTTGGAAGTCGTAGAGGCAGTCCGGAAGGGAGTAAAAGTAGGGGACACGGAAACGTTGGTGTCAGGAATGCTGTTTGCGGATGATTTTGTTGGTATGTCGGACACCCCTGAGGGACTGCAACTGCAAATTGACGCGGCGAAGAAGTTTACTGATAAGTGGAGATTGTCTGCCAACGTTACGAAGAGTGCCGTCATGGTATGCAACAAGGGCAGGGAGGAACCAGTAGAACATAGATGGAAGTGGGGGATCGAGGAGATTGCAGTAGTGGACCAGTACACATACCTCGGAGTAGAGATCGCAAAAGATTGCTCGTGGAATGCACACATGTCCAAGGTAGCGGAAAAGGGCAAAGCACGAGCAGGGAAGCTGCACCCAATACTCGCAAACCGGCACCTTGATACACGCATCAAATTGACGGTGTTGAAGAGCGTAATCGTACCGCCGCTAGAGTACGCCGGAGAAGTATGGGAAGGAAATAAGAAGGTAGTGAAAGAACTCGAGGCGGCGCAGATGAAAGCAGCGAAAATCATCCTAGGATGCTCCAAGCGCACAAGTAATGCAGCAGTCAGGGCAGAATTGGGGATCCAATCCCTACGGTCGGGAAGAGACGTAAGGAAGCTGACATGGCAGTATCGCATGTGCGGGATGGGAGAGGAGAGGTTGCCGAGAATAGTATGGGAGGCGAAGTGGGCAAACAAAAAGAGGGGTAGACAACCCACGGAATGGGTCAAGGTTGTAGAGGACGTATGGAAGGGATTGGACATCGACGAAGATGAAACGCTGGAAACGGAGGGTCTACAGGGGTTCAAGAAGAAGATATCTGTTGCTTGTGCCGAGAGAGAAGAACAGAATCTAAGGAAAGAATCCAAGGATAAGGAGGGTCTAGAAGTGTACGGAATGTTGAAAGAAGGAATAGGGTTCAAGGATTACCTACATGGACCAATGGATGCAGGGACAAAGCTTAAGGTCAAATTCAGGACCGGGGACATAGGCCTTCGCGAACGTTGACGAAGACATAGGACGGTAGACGACGAAGACGATAAGTTCAAATGCGATTGCGGCTTCGAATGCGAAGACAGTGTTCATGTAGTCGCGGAATGTCCGTGGTACGAAAAGGAGAGGGAAGTGTACATGACTGAGCTGGGAAGAATACAAGTGACGTACAGGGAGATGTTTGAGGCATGGAATAGAGAGGAGAGGACGGTAGCGGTACTGGGGAGTAGAAAGTGGTTTGAAAAGGCGGGAAGGGACATCGGTAGGATAGACAAACTAGGGAAGACATTTTTGAGCCACCTTTGGCAAAGTAGGAAGGAACGATTGGCCATCGGTGATCGGTCCTGTGGGAACAATGCTCCGTCCTCTCGAGGACGCGTGGTCAATGGTCTAACCGCTAAGGCATGCAAAACATAAGAGTACCCCCCCCCCCCCCCCTCTTAAAACCCATTACAGGTGGGGGTGTCCGGGGCCCTTTGGATGCTTTGCATTCCAAGGGTTAAAAACATGGGCGGGGGCCTCAGTATACACGTGGGCAAATGGGAACCAAAAAAACCCGGCGAGGGGCTGGAGGGGAGGACGGGGGGAGGACTTTTGAACCCCATATCGGACCCGGAATTGGAAGGGAGGAGCCGCAATATCCCCCGCGTATAGGAAAAGTCGACCATTGAGTTCCGTTTTTTGCGCGCCCCTCCCGAAAAACCTTTTCCCCCAGCGGGATGAAGTACATGTATGTCTGTTTTTATTTTTT